AGGATACAGAACTGTCAGGATACAGAACTGTCACCCACAAAGTCCTCTGTGCTTTTTTTTAAAATTTATTTTATTGAAATATAGTTGATTTACAATGTTGTGTTAATTTCTACTGTACAGCAAAGTGATCCACATATATGTATACACATATATATATGTATATATATTCTTTTTCATAGTCTTTTCCATTATGGTTTATGTGCTATGTCTTTATAGTTGCATGCACCTTGCCAACTCTAACTTCTGGCAACCACTGATCTGCTCTCCATCACTATAATTTTGTTATTTTGAGAATTTATATAAATGAAATCATATAGTATATTACCTTTTAAGGTTGAATTTTTTCACTCAGCATAATGCCCTTGAAACCATCCAAGTTGTTACAAATATCAATAGTTGATTTGTTTTTATTGCTGAGTAATATTCCATATTGTCACTTTTAACTAATAGGTGTCCCCTCATCTCTTTTGTTTTCTTGCTATTTATTTATTGAGAATCTAACCTATAGAATTTTCCTCATTCTGGATTTTGCTGATTTCATCCCCCAGTGTCATTTCACTTGTTCCTCTATTCCCAGTCCTTCATATAACTGATAGTTAGATTTCCAGGCCTAGTCAGAATTAGATGGTTCTCTGTAAGGAACCTCCATCCCCACTGGCAACTCTGAGGCACATGTTACTGAACACACTTGGAGAAAGGATACCGCGGAGGAAGGAAGAAAATGCCATGGGGACTGAAGCAGTCTGAGGAGGCTTGCCTGTAGGAGAAGGGCTATGAACTGGGGTGGTGCTCCAGGCAGGCAGCTTCAGAGGCTGAATGTGAGGCACCACTGTGGCAGAGGAGGGGTTAGGGTTGGACAGAATGTCCTGTGCAGGCTTCGTGGTGGGTTCTATGGAAGGCTGAGCCTGGGACACTGGTGAACCTCCCCCCACCCGACTATCACCTCCACTCCTGGGACACTTCTGAGCTGAGAACAAACCCAAGTGATTGGAGGGCGTGCACCTGGGGGAGGGGGCAGTGCCTACCTAGCAGGGCCATGTTGGGGGTCAGGTCGGGGGGCTGTGAAATTGTCCTAAGGCCCTTATGCACCCTAGGCTTCCACCACAGCCTCTAGAGGTCTCCTTGCCTCCAACTCGAGAGGTGGATGGGGAGCTGAGAGGGAGGAGGACCTTGGAGCATGGGCAAGGTTCTCAAGGTCAGGAGGGCACTCCTGCTCTTCAAAGGGACTGAAACCCTTTGAAGCCCATGTCACAGGGGGGCTGTGCCATTTTTGCTTGCACACTTCCCTCCGGAGAAGTGAGTGTAGCCATCCAGGATGCATGGTTGGAGAGCTCTGATGTGCCAAGTGTCTCCTCGTGTTATCCTGGTCTCTGCCCCGTGCCCTCCAGGACCAGAGAAATAAGTGCAATCCCTCTTCTACACAAAAGCCTGCAGGGTGCTAGAAGGCAGCACCCCCAGAAAGACTGGCTGCAGCCTTCTGCTGTTTACGAGGACTAGCACATCTGATCCTCACAGCTCTTCCGTGGGAGGCTTATTATTACTATTGTTGTTGTTGTTTCTTTGTTTTGTTTTGTTTTGTTTTGCCATGCCACTCGGCATGTGGGATCTTAGTTCCCCGACCAGGGATCGAACCCATGCCCCCTGCAGTGGACACGTGGAGTCTTAACCACTAGACCCCCCAGGGAAGTCCCAGTTGTTGTTGTTTCTGTATTACAGAAGCGGAAATAGGCTCAGAGAAGTCCCACAGAATTTTGATGTACATACTTCTCAACCTTGTCTTCCCCTGTCACATTCCCTTGAAACTTGTCTTCTTCAAGCTAAAGGAAGTCCAACCTTAATTCCTCTTACTGCCATGAGGGTGTCCTTTGCTCTTCCTCAGTGTGCCAGGATGGAAGACCCAGGATAGGAGATCCTGCCTTCTGGGCAGGGAAGGGCAGAAACTGAAATAGAAACCTTTCCTTGGGAGAGTGAGGAGAAGGTGGGCCCCATCAGACTACAGGAGCAGCCAGATGCCTGGTGGGGTGAGCTGGGACTCATTGCTCATTCTGGGAGAAGTTTGGGATTGGGGGACCTTTCCTGGCATAGGAGGGGCTGGGGAGTTCCCAGGGAGAGGTCACTCTGTATCAGTGGAGTCACTGGGTACAGGCCCACAGAGGCAGGAGCAGGAAGCTGGTCTTGATAAGGCACTTGGAATGGTATGGCTGGAAGATGCTTTTGTGGTACAGATGGGGAAAAGTGAGGCCCAGAGAGGGGCAGAGGCTTTCCCAGAGACACAGAGCAGGGCAGGAGCCCAGGTCTGGACACTACTCCACTGCCACTTGGCTCTCCCATCAAGGAGCCTGGGCTGTGCAGTGGGAGAGGGTACATCTTCAACTAGGTCTTTGATGACTCCTGCCAAGCTTCAGAGATGGCCTTATGTGAGCACTTATCATACTCAGGACACAGTGTCAGGGAACAGTGCCTGTCCTGTGTAGGTATGCAGTGCTGTGGTATTACAGCATGCCATCAGAGAGGGCAGGAGTAACCCAAGGACACAAAGCTAATACATGGTAAAGCCTGGACCTTGTTCTCCAAGGTCTGGGTCTTCTCAGCCCCAACAGAGCCTCCTGGAAGAACACAGTCTCTCTAGCCCAGACTGAGAGCCACAGGAAGGGGGTACAGGATGTTTGTGGGATCTGGGCTATCTCTGGCTTCTCCCAACCCTTCCACCTGCCTCCCATCCCACATGCCAGCCTGTCATCTTGTATTGAGGCAGACACCCAGGGGCTCTGTTGACAAGCTGGGAACTTCTGAAGTTTCTTCAAAATGGATCATCTAAATTTCCCACAGTGTAAGATTCCATGCTTTTCACTCTTCAGCAAGCAAACTCCTGCCTATCTTATAAAACCCAGCTCAGAGGTACAGCAAATGACGATGTACAAAGCCACAGAGGGAGTCACATCACATTCCAAAGAATCTTACAGTCCATGATCTCTGACCACAATGAAATACAATCAGAAGTCAACAAGATATATAAACCTCCCATAGGTTGAGACACTAAAAAACACACTTCTAAATCATCCATGGGTTAAAGAGGAAATGACAAGGAAATTATGAAATATTTAGAACTGAATGATAAGGAAAGCACAAGCAGTTTCTACTTCCTTTGTGAAGTCAAAGTCCCAGGGCCCATGTGCTGAGTGTTTTCCGCTGCCCCTCCAGATGCACTCCAACCTCCTCCTCCAAGCTCTAGGTCCCAGGAGGCTGACCTCTATGGGTTGCATCAACTGGTTCCCTTGTCCTGGGCTTCTGGTAGGATTTGGCCAATGGGGAAATCTTGCCAGAAATCAGAGGGAGGGAAGTGGGGCCCCTTTTTACCCCCAGCCCTTTGCAGTATGATTGCTGTGGGCTGAGTATGTCCCTCGAGCTCCGCACAGCTCTGGTCAGTAGTGCCATCCTCATGGCTCCCATTTTTACCCCTCCCTCCAGTTCAGGTTAGACAGCAAAGGGCTACTAGTCCTTTGGTGATATGCTATCCCTGTGGTTTCCTTACACCCTGACTATACTTCTAAACACTGCTTTCTTTAAACTCTCCTCAAAGCATCCACTTTGGGTATTCCATGTGTTTCACACTGATAACTCCACACTTACCAAGTGCTCGCTGTCAGTCCATAACCGTGTTCTCACAACTGGATGACTAAGCTCTGACCTTGTGTTATCTCTGTGTGTTGACTGCCCCCCCAGCTGACCTGTCAGCACCTGAGGTCAGCAACTGGGTCAGCTCCGTCACCTCATCCTCTGCTCTCAGTGCACAGCCATGCTCAATAAAGGGTATTAATTAGGATATCAAATAAATGAAGGACTAGGTTTGAATTCCTTCTGCATACACTAGAGCATGCAAATGTTGGCCTACAGAGGATCTGGGGCTGAGTTAAGACTCAGATATCAAAAAAAAAAGAGAGCTTTAGACTGGGATAAAAATAGGTATTCAACAAAAGAAAGAATCTTCAGTTCTATGAGCTAAGATTTTTAAGGATCCAGTGTGTTCTCATGCCATCCAGCAAGCAGAAGATCCAGACACAAGGGGAGCCCAGTGGGGCTTCTGTGCCATGTAAATGCCCATCTCCTGCCTCGAGCTCTCCCTTATCCCTGCCTGCTCACCCCTCATACCCCTCCAAGGTGACTTCTGTAGCCCATCTGTCTGCCTTGGCTCTCCCACCCTAGAAGGCCTCGAACCTTCCCTACCACCCTAGGGCAGAGCCAGCCAACTGGTCCCTGGGCCTGGGGCGCACGGCGTGCATTTTGTGCTGCTGCAGAATATTTGTCTGCCCTCAGGGGAAGAACCCAAGTAGAAAAGTAGCAAAAGCAAATCAGGTCTTGAAGGCTTTGGATTTGGCTGGAAGAAAGGAAGGAAAGAAGATATCCCAAAGTGGGAACAGCTGGAACAAAAATGTGGTGGGGGGAAATGGGGTGACTTCCGCCCAGGAGTGAGGAGAATTTGCCCAGCCTAAGCCAAGACCCCAGCCCTGGTGGGGGAGGTGAAAGTCTGTGATTTGAGCACTCTTGAGGGCCAGTCCTTTCAGTGCTGGGGTAAGGGACTCGGCTCATTGTAACCAAGGCATTCATTCATTAAGTGCCTGCTATGTGCCAGGCACTATGCCAGGAGCTGAGGGTATGGGAGTGCATAGTGATCTCGAGCTCAGGGACACACAAGACAGAAGATTCTAGGAGGGCAAGGAAACCACCATTATCCAGCTACAGACAGAAGCTGGGCTTGTCCCCATTTTACGGTCGATGAAGTTGAGGCTGCCTCCTTGGCCCTCCTGAGAGGGCCAGCTCTTAGTCCTTTGCTCCTGGGAAGATGGGGGAGCGATACAGACTCTCCGGAAAGGCGGGGGTATTGGGGTTGGGGGGGGTCCCCTCTCCCCGCCCCTTCCCCGCCCCCTGGCCGCAGCGTGGCCGGGCAGGGAGGGCCGGGGCGGAGTTGGCGTCGCCTTGGGGCGGGAGGGCGACGCGGGCTCGGCAGGCAGACGGGCAAGAAGATCGGCGCGGCAGGCGACGAGCAGAAGGAGGGGACCGCCTGCTGGGGATGTGACCTCGCGGCCAGACCGGACTCGCGCTAGCCCACCCGGCGGACCCCGTGAGTGCGTGCCCCTCGCGCCCGGCTGCGCACACGGCCCAGCCTCGTTTCCACTTTCATTTCTCCGGCCGTCCCAGCGTGGCACCGTCCCGAGGCGACCTGTGCCCGAGCAGGCTGGCCACAGACCTCGGTCCGGGTCCGAAGCTCTGAGCTGGAAAGTAGGGGCTGGGGTTTAGGCGAGTCGGTGGAGGAGGGCGTGTCTTCGGAGGCGGAAATTTCAGGCCTGCTCCTCTGGGTCCTAAGAACCGTCTGTCCTGGCGGCTGGGCTGGGGAGGCAGTAGCGTCAGGGGTCCTGGGAGAGGCCGAGGAGTGGTCGTAGGTGGCCAAGCGCCGCGGGGAAGAGCTGGGAGTCCTTGCCTCTACTTTTCACTTGGATCTCTGCCCTCAGCCCTCCCGCCTGCCCCCACCCCCAACACACCAACACACACACACACACCAACACACACACACAACACACACACCAACACACACACAACACACACACCAACACACACACACCAACACACACACCAACACACACACCAACACACACAACACACATACACACCAACACACACAGCACACACACACTAACACACATCAACACAACACACACCAGGCACACACAACACACACCAACACACACACCACACACACACCAGCACACACCCCAACACACACACCCCAACACACACCACACACACCAACACACACAACACACACACACACACCCGCACTACTCTAGGCTGGATTCTGGTTTCAGACTGGGGCCAAGATCCTGGGTCAGGCCTGGGGGAGTGGCAGGTGTGGCTGAGCATCAGAAGCAGGCAGGGCCCCTCTGTGGTCTTCATTTGGGAAACCCAGATGCTCACCCAGGGAGCGAGCCATTATTAGCCACTTAAGGAGTGAAAGCACATCCAGGGTTAGGAAACGGGGGCCAAGAGGGGGAATGGCCATGGTTCAGAAGTTCAGGGAGGGGACAGAGATTCTGTGAGAGTTAGAAACTCAGTAAAGGGATGGGAGTGGGAAGTGAAGACAGACAAGTGGCATGGATACAAGGGCATCTATCCATCCCCCCACCCCCAAGCTTTCATTTTCCTGGGGAAAGACCCAGGCCTTAAAATTCTGCAGCAGGAAGGTGGGACTCTAGCTCACTGGTTAGGACACCAAAGTTGCTGTGGGGTGTGGGGAAGGCTCAGTGTGCTGGGGGAACAGGAATTAGGTTGGTCTAGTTGATGGGAAGATGCTTCCCCTTTCCCTCCACTCCCCTCCTTTCCCCTTATCTTCATCAGACCAGCGACCAGCCAGTGCAGGAAAATGGCCCTTTACTAGTTGTCATGCCCCACCTTATCCCAGTGTCCAGTTCTGCCATTGGAGATCCCCTGCCTGTAACTTGCTGTGTGAATGCAGTCTCCTCAAGTCCCCTTACTGGGCCTCAGTTTCCCCATCCATACAAGAAGTGGGTTGGGCCAGTTGATTTCTCAGGGCTATTTCAACCCTATGATTCTTGATTTTGAGCTTTCCTTAAAGCCTGAGCATCCGCTATGTGCCAGGCCCTGACCAAGGCTGGGGGGTGGGGCTGGTGGGGGACCAAATGGCCAAAGAGTAATCTCCACCCAAGGACAAAGAGATCTGGGTTCAGTAGAGGGGCTGTGGGAGGAGGTAGCATTCAACCTGACAGTGTGAGTCAAGCCAAGGGACCAGTGTAAGAAAACACACAGAAGCAGGAGTTGGGGGTGTGTTCAGGGATCAGGAAGAAGCCCAGGGTGGTTTCTGTAGGGAAGTGAGGCAGGAAAGCTAGGGTGAGGTGTTGAATGCCAGGGTGAGGGTCTGTTGGTAGCTGTCACTGAGGGGGGCTGTGCAAAGGTGGAGAGCCCAGGGACCCAACCTAATTGCAGTGTGAATGATTTTGGAAGCTCCTGCCCCAAGCAGAGTTTAGAATGCACGCTGCAATTCAAGCATGGAAATCTCCTCTTGGATCAGGAAGTCCCACACTGGGGACTTCTTTGGGTGAGAAGTTGAGGGGTAGGGGATGGATGACCTGCCACGTCTTTGAGGTTTTTTCAAGAGGACAAGATCCTGCTGGGAGACCTGCCCCTACTCCCCAAACTCCTCTCATTTTACTTGACTTCCCCTTGGCCTGTGTGTTGTGTGTTTTAGACTTCTCCACTAGCTTGACTTGTCTGACATGATGACCCACACGTACCTTTGGTTACCCCCAATTGTCACCTTGTTCCCACCCTCCCTTCCCCAAACCTGTCCCAGTATTTCTAGAGATGTGAGAAAGGAAAATACTCCAGTGTCAGCTCTGAGGTCAAGGCCAGGCTTTGTGGCTGTATTCAAGCCTCAGTCTAGGGTTAGAGTCCAGGACTCAAACTGACCAGGGTCAGGGCCAGGTCATAGTTCAGCCTGCAGCCAAAAAGCTCAGTGTTTAGCCTACACTTAGCCTTAGTGCTCAGTCTGGGGTCAGGATCAGTGCTCATGTGGCTAAATTCCAGTGGGTACTTGGCTCTGCATTTCCCAAGAGCTCACACACTCACAGGGGAGATGAGGTGACTACCCTGGAAGTCCCAGGCCTGTGACTGACCGAGGAAGTTGCATGGCCCAATCCATGCCTGCTGTAGGGGTCACCCAGCAGTGGTGCATGAGACAAGAACCCAGGTCTCCAGCCTTAAAGCCTGGGGCTCTTATCACCGTCCCCAAAGTCTGTTCGGAGACTGAGATCCTTCAATTCTAAGAGGCAAAGCAAATCCTTCTGAATTCTGGATGGGCCCAGCTGGGTGATTTGACTGCATTTTCCTACCTTCCAGTGCCGGGCACATAGTATGTGCTGTAGGAATGTCTACTGAATGTCAGGTGCAGTGGGAGGGGCCACCAGCTATTCTGGTTTGTGTTTCAGGCTGGAGGAGGCGAGCTTGGGAGGAAGGATCTCCAGCCACTGCTGGGGAAGTGGTGCCCTTCTAGACCTGCCACCTCCCCCTCCCTCCAGTGCCTGCAGCCACACTCAGAGGCCACCCAGCTGGCCATATGAGAGCTCTTTCCTTTCAGGGTAATAAAAGGAAAGTACATTTTTGGTAGAAAAGTCCCTCGTGCTCCCTGGGAATCCCCGGTGGCCGGATGGACTGTGGGATATCTCAGAGGAAGCCGAGGGCGGGGGCTCTCCCCCTACCCACAGGACAATGCAAACCGGCTCTCCCACGCTTTACCAACTAGCCCATGGGATCCCCAGAGGTCATCTTGTCCAGGCCCCTGCCTCCTGCAGGGGCCCCTGCCTGAAGGAAGCCTCTGCCAGCTCTCTAATGGTTCACAGCAAGTCTGAGGAACACCTGTCTGGAGCCCAGGCCCAGCCCTCTCTGAGCCACAATGAAGGTGGAGAGGAAACTAAACAAGATGGGAGGGCTGTGAATGCTTGGCAGGGGGAGCTAGGGTATCTGGAAATAGGGCAGGATGCTGGACTGTGGGGATGAGGAGGATTTAGATTCCAGGCAGAGAATTCCAGGCCAAAAGCCGAGAGGTGGGAGGGAAATGATGTGTTGGGAAGTCAAGCCCATTTGGTAAGGACCTGACCACCATGCTCCCCCATGCCCTTGGCCCTAGCAGGGCATCCGCAGGGCCTGCCCCTGGACCCCCGGCCCTCGGCCCATCCTGGCCATGGCGCTGTGCCTGAAGCAGGTGTTCGCCAAGGACAAGACGTTCAGGCCGCGGAAGCGCTTCGAGCCGGGCACACAGCGCTTTGAGCTGTATAAGAAGGCGCAGGCGTCGCTCAAGTCGGGTCTGGACCTGCGCAGTGTGGTGAGGCTGCCACCGGGCGAGAACATCGACGACTGGATCGCCGTGCATGTGGTGGACTTCTTCAACCGCATCAACCTCATCTACGGTACCATGGCCGAGCGCTGCAGCGAGACCAGCTGCCCGGTCATGGCCGGCGGGCCCCGCTACGAGTACCGCTGGCAGGACGAGCGCCAGTACCGGCGGCCGGCCAAGCTCTCGGCGCCTCGCTACATGGCGTTGCTCATGGACTGGATTGAGGGCCTCATCAACGACGAGGATGTCTTTCCCACGCGCGTGGGTGAGTGCCGCCTGGCAGGCAGGTCAGGCCTGGCTAGGGAGGAAGGGAGCCAGCGGGCCCCATCGCGCAGATGAGGCGTTTAGCTTGATGCAGCCATATTGTAGAAGAGGAAACGGAGGCTCAGGGACATCGTGGCTGCTCAAGATCAGGCATCTTGAGCTAGGGCTGCCTGGCTCCCAGTTTGCGGCCTCTTTTTGTCTGAAGCTTGAGTGTCCCTCCAGGGAACACCCTGGCAAGACCACTATGATTCTCAAAATCTTCCAGAACAAGTGCCTCAAGGTGCTCCCAGCAGGTCGCCCGCCCTGCTTGGGCTGATCTGACTTGCTGCCTCCTGGGAGTCCCCTCTGACTCCTGGCCCCAGGAAAGGGAAGGGGGTGGGGCCCCATTGGGGCCAGATGGTATCTCCTCCTCAGTGGGCTCTGAAGGTAGAATGTTCCCTTGTCAAGCCCAATCCATGGAGCCTTTTCTTTTCTCAGCTGGGCAGCCTGGGCAGGTGAGGGTGGGGAGAGGAGATGAATGATGTCATCCTGGCCCGGCTTCCCCACCCAAGGGCAGCAAGACACGGTATTGGCTCAGGAGCTGAGCAGGCATGACCCTGTGTTCATCACACCAGCTGCGCCTCACCTGGCCTCCTGTTCATCTGTGCTAAGGCTATGGGAATCAGAGAGGGGCGGGGCAGGGTGGTCAGGCCCGGAAGGGAGAAGTCTGAATGCTGAGGGCCTTGAGTCACAAATCAGTGCCCACGCCCCTCCCCAGTCAGTGGCCTTCCATTTCCTGCACTATCATGTCCAACATGAGTATCTTCATTTCACATGAGAGGAAATAGGCCGAGAGAGGGACGGTGCACCGAATCAGGAGGGACTCAGAATGAGCTCAGGTCTCTTGAGGCCCAGGGCCCCATGTCTAGATGGACAGGACAAGTCTGAGGGACCTGGGCTGGGCCTGGAAGGGCTCACAGGGAGACAGGGCTCAGCCCCACCCGACAGCAGTGAGGAAGGGGAAGGGCCTCATGGAGCGGGGTGAGTCAGTGTGGGCCTGCGTCTGACCGCTTGTTCCCTTCTAGCCTTCACCCCCAGGCCTATGAGATCCCAGGTGCCTGTGCCTTAATCCTGGGATGGCTCTGCCACAGCAGAGAAGAGAGAGTAGCCACCAAGATCTCCACCGTGAGCATGGGGGACTGTACATGCTCACGGTGGAGATCTTGGTGCCTTTTTCACAGGTCCTGGACCTTGTCTCTGGCAGGGTCTGTGGCATTTATCCCTGAGGGGTGCTGCAGTGCAGTGCAAAGAGGGCTTGAATCCTGCCTCCAGTCTGTACTAATTAATAGTTGTGTGGCCTTGGGCAAGTGGTTCTACATTTATGCACCTCTGTTTTATCATATCTAGAATGGCTGCCATACCCATTATCATACTAGGCTAAAGGTGCAAAGGACCCAGCACAGGGCCTGGCTCACAGATGGAAGGTTCTTGTGAGTCTTATTGACTATTTGAAGGACTGAGAGATATACGAACTTGTTCATGAAGGTCTAGTAATTCTCAGGATTGGCGTCTGGGGCCTGCTGTGTGAATGTTGCGAAGGGGAAGGAGTCGGTAGGGCTGGAGAGGCAAGTCAGGATCAGATCATGAAAGGCCTTGAGCAGGCGCCATGCTGGGAAGTTAGGACTCAATCCTGAAGGCCCATATTTTTAAAAATGGACCCCAGATATTTATGAACTCTCCTTGGAATTGCATCCGAGGGTGTTGTGTGCGAGCACCTACAGATGCACATGTTTCTGGGCATAACTTCCATTATAGTCTAAGAAGGGTTGGTCAGTGACCCAGCAAAGTAGCAGAGTCCTGTTCAGGGTGATGGGAAAATCAGAAGATGATTTGTCTTTCAGCAGAGGAGAGGCACAGTGCTTCATTAAAAAGGGAAGAGTGGGAGAAAGCAAACCTTGATCTGTTTCCCACAGGGAAGTGTGCTAGGGGAGAGGCCGTCTTGGGCAAAGGCCGCCTGTGTAGGGGAGGGCAGGGCTGGGCAGAGTTTCATCATCAGATTGCTGATGCCCCATATCTGCCCATCCCGCCCCCTAGGAGTTCCCTTCCCCAAGAACTTCCAGCAGGTCTGCACCAAGATCCTGACCCGCCTCTTCCGCGTCTTTGTGCATGTCTACATCCACCACTTCGACAGCATTCTCAGCATGGGGGCCGAGGCGCACGTCAACACCTGTTACAAGCACTTCTATTACTTCATCCGTGAGTTCAGCCTGGTGGACCAGCGGGAGCTGGAGCCACTGGTGAGGCCAAGCCCCCACTGCCCTCCCCCACAGGGCTAGCCTCTGAGTTTTCAGATCCGAAGGCTACCTGCTTTAAGAAAATCCAATATCCAAGTAGATATGTTAGGGGACCGCAATTCAATGGATTTTGTACTTTAATAGCGACTTCATTCAAGTATCAGTTTACAAGCACAGATCTGCAGCCTGGAGTTGGGAGGCGGTGGTGGCGGGAAGGGTCCAGGCTCAGGCAGAAGAGTAGCCGGGCCCTGTGGTTTGGAAACGGGCTGCCTGGCAGGTTGAGCTCTGACTGACCCCTCCCCACCTTGTGTCTCTGCAGAGGGAGATGACAGAGCGGATCTGTCACTGAGCCCAGACCTGGACCTTGTTGCCCATCAGATGGACCATCTGAACACAGAGTGGCCAGGGAGGGGACCCTCAGAAGTCTGGTAGCAGAGGGACCTGAAGGCCCTGGGGCCCCTCCACACACCCAAAGCCCCTGGACTTCTGGTTCTCAGGAGTCTGCCCACATGTCCCCCTGACTGTTTTTGAGTGGAGTAGGGAAGAGCTTAAAGGTGGGCAGACAGGTAAAAAGGAGCAGCTAAACCCTTAGCATGATGTCTAGTCTGCTCTGACACTTGACCCTTCCACGGTGGTTGCCAAGCCTGTTTGGGGAACATGGATGTGGCTGAAGTGACAGCAAGAAAGATGCAAGAGCATGAGCAGCCTATGTGTGAGTGGACACGGATAACGTGTGTATATCGGTGTGTATGTGTATGATTTTGACTGTGGGGTGTGTCTGTGAGAGCTACGTGCCTTAGACTGTTCCTGGCACATAGTAGGCCCTCCATAAATGTTAGGTAAATTGATGGATGGATGGAAGGGAGGAAGGAAGGAAGTAGGGATTAGGGCCATCGGACCATGACCACTTAGGAATGGTGACGAGTCAGTCTCCCCATTTGGTGTGTCTGACTATGTGTGTAAGTGCACAAACTGTGGTGGTAGATGTATCTCCATGTTTGAATCTTCCAGGCTACCATCTTCCATCAGCATGAGTTCTGGGGAGCTATTGATGCGGGGAGGTAGGAAGGGGGGCCCTGCGCTGACTAAAATCCTGGCCCACCATAGGTTCTGATTTGCTCAGCTAGAGATGCCCAGGAGCTGTCATTTCCCTCATCCCTCTGCCTCCAGGAGGCCTGATTATAGATAGCCTCATGGGCGTCAGGGGTGATTCTTCATATCCACAAAGATCCCCAGTCCTTAAATCAGGAATCATACACTCCAATCTAGCTTCCTGAATCTCCAGATGTGGTTGTGAGGATCTGAAGCCCAGCACAAGATAATCCTCCAACCCACAAAGCTAGTGAGCTTGAATTGGGAAGCTCCGGAGCCTTATCTCCCGCCTGGGACATTGAGGACCACATAGCTGTGAATGGACTCTTCCAGGCTTGGAGAGCCCCCATCCTTCAAGTACCTGCCTCCTTCCCAACCATCCCTGAAACATTCCAGCTGGTTGGATCTCAGAGCATAGCTATCCACAGAGAAACTGGCATGTTTATTCAGCACTTATTACTCAGCACCGCCATGCCCAGCCCTGTGCCCAGACCCACAGGTGGGGAAACTGAGGCAGGGACAAGGCCCTCCTCTCCTGGAGACTCCAGGCTCGGGGGCCAGGATGGAGAGCCAGAAGGAATCTGAGAATCATCCAGTCTCACTCAGAATCATCCACGTACATGGGAGGAAACTGAAGCCAGAGGAGAGGCGGGAGAAGCTGTCCAAGGCCTCCCAGCAAAGCTTTTGTGGAGCTGGAGTGGAAACCAGGGGTTCTGACTCCCACCCCTGGCCTGTGGATTGCTACACAGGGAGATGAGATGTACTCCAAAGGAGGGTTTGACAGCTCTCCAGGATACGACTGTTCCTACTTTGAGCAAGGATTTCTAGCCTGATGCCAGAGTGCCCCACCACCCCTGTGGTCTGCTGGGGTTGTCTGTTGAGCCAAACCTCCAAAATCATGCCCCTCTCCATGGCCCCGCAGCTGCCAGATCTCTGGGGAAGCAGATGGGGCTCCTGGGTCCAGCCAGCTGGACCTGGGACATCTGCCTCCAGAGAAGTTCCCAAGGGAAGCACTGGCCCAGCAGCTTTGCCAGAAGCTCTGGTGTGAGGGAGGCGGTGGGGGGTGGGGTGGTATGTGTCAAAGATTCTGCCAAGGAGGACTGTGGATTGGAAGATGGAGTCTAGGCTATGGCCAGTACTGATTACGCGGCAGGGGGCAGGGGATGTATTTTTTTGTGAAACAGAGGGAAATTTTATTGTTGTTATTTTTGGTAAAATAAAGGAGGCAAACTAAAGGCCCTGGTGGGAAGCTGTGGTCTGGGTGCCACATGGCTCCTGGGAAGGCTGTGGAAGGAACTGGGCCAGAATGGGGCAGGGAGGGCTTTTTGTCCTGAGATCCTGGGCCATGTGGAGGGCTGGCTGATGTGGTCATGTCTGGCCCAGCTCTCCAGGGTGGGGTCACCAAGGTTTTCCCAGGGCTCTGAGAATCCTAGACCCAGAATTCCTGGGCTAGGGCTAGGAACCTCAGAGTGGGGAGGGCTGGCCCTTACCTTCGGGGAACTCAGTCTCTTGGGAAAGTCTTTCCTTGTTTCAGCTCAGGTCACCTGGCACTGGCTACTCTCACTCCACCCCCTTAATCTGGGTGGTTTATTGGAGCTAATGGGTTAAGGTACAGGGCAGAAATACAGCCCTATCGGTAATCACAGCAGAGGAAACACTTCTCAAAAGAAGGCTGTCGGGGGCTTCCCTGGTGGCGCAGAGGTTGAGAGTCCGCCTGCCGATGCAGGGGACGCGGGTTCGTGCCCTGGTCCGGGAGGATCCCACATGCCGTGGAGTGGCTGGGCTCGTGAGCCATGGCCGCTGAGCCTGCGCTTCCGGAGCCTGTACTCCGCAATGGGAGAGGCCACAGCAGTGAGAGAGGCCCGCGTACCGCAAAAAAAAAAAAAAAAAAAAGGAAGGCTGTCGGGTGCTCGCTAGAGCTCCCAGTGGTGGCAAGACATGGGGCTGACTCCTCAGCTTCTTTCCCAGGAGACACCTGACACTCTTAGCTCAGGTCTTGCCGTCAGTCCACTGCCCCTTACCTCAACTGCCCAGCCAAGAGTTGAAAACCAGCTTGGTTCTTAAGAGTCAGCAAAGGCCCACCTAGAGCTCTTCCTGCTACCTGAGAAGGAGACAGCCTGGCTTTGTGCAGTGCCTCTCCTGGGAGACACAGACCTGGGCTCCAGTCCCAGCCCAGCCCCCAAGGTACTCTGGCATGTACTTCATAATCAGGTGTGGGAGTGAGGGACTTACTGATCTCTAAGCTCCTTCATTACAGTCTGTGGATCGTTCACAATAATAACTAATACTGTGTGTTAGGTACAGCTCTAGGTTCTTGACATATGATAGCTTGTTGAATCGTCTGTCTTGGGCTAGTTGCCTAGCTCCCTTCCTGGTGCCCGGTATCCCTCCTTTCATTGCTGTAGGATCTGGAAGGCCCTGCACTCTGCAGCCCCTTCTTCTGGCTTTACCAGAGGAGGCCCCAGTCCAGCATTCTAAAAGGTGGCTCTGCTTGCACACCTCCTGTGACAGGTCACGCACTACCTCCTCGATTACTGGACAGCTTAGACTCTTAGAAACGTCAGGCTCTGGGATCATAGTTGTTCAGGAATACACCGTATGAGCGTAGACTTATCTCAGAACTGCGTGGCCAAGGCCCGCACCTTACACGAGAATGTCTGAATACATCAGGAAGCCCTCACAAAACTACTCTGAGAAATTCAGAGAGGGATGCTTGGAGAAGACTAGACAGAGAAAGGAGAAGATAAAAGAGAGAGCTGAGGCCTCAGCTACACAGAGAAAAGAGCCCCCCATAGGGCAAAATTTGGCAGGAGAGGATCCTTGGAGAGAGGCAGTGTATTGAAGGTAGAGGGATAGTTTGGCTTGCTTCCTCATTCCCTGCTCCAAATATTTTTATGGATCTTGAGCCAACAGGAAAACAGAGCCGTCTGCAGCCTAGCTGCCCAGCCATTCTCCCCACCTTGGAGCAGAGCATTCACCTGCTGAGTAAAAGATGCCCCACCACCCTTGGCCCCCAGGAACACTGCAGCCTCTTGGAAGTTTCCTGCTGCCACTCCCACTGCCCCACCATCAGGAGCTGTGTGGAGTGTGTGGTGAAGGGAGCCACAGGCATGGCTGGAGCTCCATCTGATTTGGGGAGCCCTTCCTTAAGCCGTTCCTCCTGTGAGCCCCCCAGAGCCCTCATCTCTACTGTTAACTGAATTTGGTTGTCATGCAGGGAACACAGCAATTTTGAGAACCTGGGCTGGAACACAGACTTGAGTGACTGAGGATCATCTAGCTATTGAGACATTCAGGGAACAGAGATGGGAACAGGCTAGCGCAGCCTCTGAGTATTTGAGGCTTGGATGGGCCTGGAAGGCGACGGTGAGAGAGGTCAACTTACACAGGGGCTTTGAGGTTGAACTGAGAGATTCTGGAAGTGACTTACTTAATACAGAAGCTTGGGAGAACCCGCCCTGCCTCCAGCCAGTCACCCAGACTGGGAAATCTAGCAAAGCCTTGAATGTTCCCTATTGTTCCAGACCTCCAGACCTCCTTCCATCATACAGATGAGAAGACTGAGCCCAGAAGGGGAAAGGGAACGAACATTTGTCAGGTGGATGATGGGAAGGAAGTCCAAGAGGCTCTTTCACGAGCATTGCTCGCCAGACCCTCACAGCAATCCTGACACAGGCAGGGAAGGGATGTTTACTTCCATTTCACAACGGAGGAAACACACTCAGTTAGGGCCTGCCTTAACCTCAAGTCAGCACTCTCACTCCCTCATCACACTTGCAGCCTGGGGGAGGGTCGGGGGTTGGTTGAAATATTAATTTATTTGCAGGTAGTTTTCTGCAAGAAATGAAATTTTTACGTTTTTTATTCTAAACCACCATTACCTACTGGGGGTAATACTTTACTCAAGGAGAAACTCTCACGGTGAAATTACAGGCACGCAAACCTTTTAAATTTTACAGAATTCGTTCTCGTCTTTAAAAAGACTGGCAGCATTTCCCCATATGTAAAAGGGATTTTAAAAGTTCCTTCCCGGCATGCAGAAGCGCTCGGTAAATATAATTATACCTGCTGCTGCCCTGCCAACCCCCTCCTTGCACTTCCCGGGTTTCCCGACCTCCACTCAGGAAAAGGACTGCCAGAAGTAGCTAAGCCCCGCCCCCTATCCCAGCAACCTCCCCGCCCTTCACCCGTCACGCCTGCGCAGTTTGCTTAGCCCCACCCACACTCGCCGGGAGTAGCCATCAGGGCGCAGGCGCAGCTCCTCCCTA